TTCTCAGGCTCCCGCAGGTTTTCCAGTCTCGCAGCGGTGGTGTAGGTGGTCCCTGCACCCCCCCCCGGGGAGCGCGCCCCGCATATTCCGTGACGGTCGTTCCAGGGCACAGCTGGAGTGGCGCCGCTTTTCTCGACGCCCAGGGGGATTGTATGACGCACGGCGTGTGGGTAGGGTCCGTGGATCATTCTCGCTATCCGGTGACGGTCGGCACGGACCAAGCAGGCGTGGCTGTTTTCTCGTACCACCACAGTGGGTGCGTTCGGGGTGAGGGTGTAGGGGTACCCATGGAGCTGGTAGCGCGGCGCTTTCCGTTTTGTCGGTTCTTGTCCAGGGCTCAGCTAGGCGTGGGGTTTTCTCGACACCCAAGTGGTGGGTGCGAACGGGGACGTCCCCTGAGGGCGGGCCGCTATCCGTTGTCGGGCGTCCAGGGCACAGCATGGCGTGGCGTTTTCTCGACCCCACAGGGGAAATAATTGTGCGCACGGGGGTGGTGTTGGGTATGGTCCCTGAGCGCGGCCCGCTTTCCGTTGACGGTGTAGTCCAGGGCAAGAGGCGTAGGCTGGCATGTGCTCCAACCACAGGGGAATTTTGGAGTGCGCACGGGGTGGTCCCTGAGCGCGGCCGCTTTCCGTGACGGTCGTCCAGGGCACAGCAGGCGTGGCGCTTTCTCGACACCACAGGGGGTGCGCACGGGGTGGTCCCTGAGCGCGGCCGCTAACCGCGACGGTCGTCCAAGGCACAGCAGGAGTGGCGTTTTCTTGACACCACAGGGGGTGCGCACGGGGTGGTCCCTGAGCGCGGCCGCTATCCGTGACGGTCGTCCAGGGCACAGCAGGCGTGGCGTTTTCTCGACACCACAAGGAAGTGCGCACGGGGTGGTCCATGAGCGCGGCCGCTATCCGTGACGGTCGTCCAGGGCACAGCGGGCGTGGCGTTTTCTCGACACCACAGGGGGTGCGCACGGGGTGGTCCCTGAGCGCGGCCGCTATCCGTGACGGTCGTCTTGCGGTATCGGGGGGCAACGTCCACCAACTTCATTCTCACATTTGCCTTCACTTCAGCTTCATAACACCAACCATCATATAAGTATGTAGGGTTCTACTCGGTAGCGTTATTTCCCCTCCAGCTGTGGTGTTGGGTCCTCTTTGTGTTTGGATGTCGGTTGACGAAGTGGCGTCGGGTTCTCTTCCTCTCTCTCTCATTTCTCGTTACTCTCCGCTATCCTCTCCTATCCTCTCCTCTCCTCTCCTCTCCTCTCCTCTCCTCTCCTCTCCTCTCCTCTCCTCTCCTCTCCTCTCCTCTCCTCTCCTCTCCTCTCCTCCTCCTCCTCCTCCTCCTCCTCCTCTTCCTCCTCCTCCTCCCTCCTCCCCCTCCTTGCCTTTGCTCTCCGCATGTCTCTGTTTCGGCACACCCCTCACACGCTTCGTGGCCCCATAGGGGGGTCCATCTGAGGTTCCAATGGCGCAGCCCGCATGGCGGCGCCGCCCCATTTTGACACACCGTTCACACGTTTGGTGGCCCCATGGGGAGCTCCATCTAAGGTCCCAGTGGCGCAGCCCGCATGGCGCCGCCGGCCGATTTTGGTACACCCCTCACACGTGTGGTGGCCCCATGGGGAGCTCCATCCAAGGTTCCAGTGGCGCAGCCTGCATGGCGGTGCCGCTCCATTTTGGCACACCACTCACACGTTTCGTGGCCCCATAGGGAGTCCCGCTTGAAGTTCCAGTGGCGCAGCCCGCATGGCGGCGCCGCCCCATTTTGACACACCCCTCACACGTTTCGTGGCCCTATATGGAGCTCCACCTGAAGTCCCTGTGGCGCAGCCCGCATGGCGGCGCCGCCCGATTTTGGTACACCCCTCACACGTTTCGTTGCCCCATAGGGAACTCCACTAAGGTTCCAGTGGCGCAGCCCGCACCGCGGCGCCGCTCCATTTTGGCACACCCCTAACACGAGACGTGGCCCCATAGGGAGCTCCACTTGAAGTCCCAGTGGCGCAGCCCGCATGGCGGCGCCGCCCCATCTTGGTACACCCCTCACACGTTTCGTGGCCCCATATGGAGTTCCACCTGAAGTCCCAGTGGCGCAGCCCGCATGGCGGCGCCGCCCCATCTTGGTAACCCCTCACACGTTTCGTGGCCCCATAAGGGGGCTCCATCTTAGGTCCCAGTGGCGCAGCCCGCATGGCGGTGCCGTTCCATTTTGGTACACCGCTCACGCGTTTCGTGGCCCCATAGGGAGCCCCATCTAGGGTCCCAGTGGCGCAGCCCGCATGGCGGCGCCGCCCCATTCGGGCAAACCCCTCGCACATGTTGTGGCCCCATGGGGAGCTCCATCTAAGGCCCCAGCGGCGCTGCCCGCATGGCGGTGCCGCCCGATTTAAGCACGCCCTTCACACGTTTCGTGGCCCCTCACACGTTTTTGAAACCTTTTCTCCGTCTCGTGGACTCTCGCCCTGGGCCGTCGGCTGTCCAGCGCGCTGCCCCCTCGGCCGACGTCTCCCAGGCGTGATCCTGGACTGCGGCCGCCACGAGGTGGGGAACGGCAGGATGGAGGACGACGACTGGCGGCTGGAGCTCTACGCGCTGCTCTCGCGCGCCACGCGCCACGAGGACCTCCTGCTCACGCGGGCGCCGCGCATCGAGTTCTTCCCGGCAGGGCCGCCTGAGGGACTGCGGAGGCAGCTGGAGCAGTTTGCTACGCGCACGAAGCGGCGCAGGAGGGAGGCGACGGCCCTCGCCAGGGAGCTGGGCTTCGCCGAGTTTTATCCGCGAGGCTTGACTTGAAAGGCGACCCGCCCGAGCCTCGCCGTCTCTCGACGGTCTGACTGTTTGGCTTTGCGCCGCGGGCAACCCGCGCGCGTCGCTGGGGCCCTCTCGGGGCGACCAGCGCGCGTCGCGGGAATTCCGCGCTGCGCTCTGCCCAGAGCATCGCTCGCCCCCGTCGTCTCTCTGCCCGGCGGCCACGGCCTTGCCCGCTATCAGCCAGCCAGCTCTTTCTGCTCCGCGCGGCGGACGACCCGAGCGCGCGCCCGATATGTAGAAACCGTCGGTTCCCAAGCGTTTCAACATAGGACGGTTGTCACTCACACGTGAGAGCCACGCTGTTTTCCAATGCATGCATGGACGCATTTCGGATTTCCCTTGTGCGCACTTTCTCATCATCTTCAGCATCACCTCCGTTACCATCATCACCAGCATCATCTTTGTCATCTTCATCTTCAGCACCATCGTCGTCGTTATCTTCAGCACCATCCTCGTCGTCATCATCATTACCGTCGTCGAAATCGGCATCGTCGATACCGTCGCCCTCTACATCATTGCCACAGCTGTCACCAACATACTCCTCGTCGTCGTCGTCGTCCTCGTCTTCGTCCTCGTCGTCGTCGTCGTCGTCGTCCTCGTCCTCGTCGTCGTCGTCGTCGTCGTCGATGTTGCACCACTCACCCGGCCTAGTCCACGCGCAGGTTCTGCTTGTCGCTGCGCCACGTGACGCTCGCGAACAGGGTCTGCCGGGTAGCTAACTGTGCCCACGGCCCTGCGTGGTGTTCCCCAAGGCGTTGCGGCTGGATTGGCCCGACGTCTGCTCGAGAGTCGGAGGCGGTCACGCGCGGTGCAGGTGCCACATGCGGCGCGCAAGTGCCTTGGCTCTTGCACGGGGCAGGTCGAGGGCCAGGCGCGGCAGGGTGACGAGCGGGGGGGGTTCTTGGAACCATCTTTTGCCTTGGCATTGCTCGGACGTGTGCCTTTTTTTTTTCCTCGGCGAGGGCCATCGAGGAGCATCCCGGATCATCTTGCGGAACCCGCACGAAACCGAACAATGTACGGGGAATGGACGTCCGAGCGATGGCCAGTGGTTCTCGCGTGAGGGAGGGCGAGGGCCAGGCGCGGTTGGGTGAAGAGCGAGGGGTGTTCCCGGGGCTGTCCTTAGCTCTCTCTGGGCCATCATGACCATCACGGGGGGGCGTGGGCAGGGGGGGCGCCGGGGCGGGGGCGACGACCGAACAAATTCGACTACATGTAAAAATGGCCCTTTGCCGGGATGACCTTTTGGTGCGGGCCCACTGGGCTCCCCCGATCGCCGAAGGCGATGCGGTAGTTTCTTGTGCGCGTGTGTTTGGTTTTCCCGCGGCCTCCAAAAAACCGCGCACCAAGGTCACCCTTACCGAGGGTCATTCTTGCGTGGAGCCGAGCTGTGCAATATCATTAAATGTACTGCACAGATGGCGCCACTTTGACTGCATCCCACAGCTTTCTCGCTTTCTCCACGCAGTGCACTCCGCAGCGTGCCCGCGCCGCGGCGGGGGGCAGGCCCCTTGTCCGCCAGGGTGGCCTCGCGAGGAGGGGGGGGGGGGGAGATACACATCTGAGCCAACGAGGGCCCGCCCCGCCTCCTGCTCCTCTTCCTCCTCCCCCTCCTCCTCCTTCTCCTCCTCGTCTCCTCTCCCCTCCCCGTCCCCCCAGCTCCTTCCTCCAGTTTCCCGCTCGCCGTCCTCTTCTCGCCCCGTCCTCGCCCTCTCTTCTTCCTCTCCCCTTCAGTGTCCTTCTTCTACATCTCATGTTCCGCGCCCTTGCCTTCCCGCTCCTCTCCTCTCTTACCACCTCCCTCCCTCTTAACGCTTCTCTTTCCCCTCCACCTCCTTCCTGCCTGCCTCTTTCCAAGCGGCGCGCGATGGGGGAGTGTGTGAGGGGGGGGCCTTGGCGGGTGATGTCTGAAATCTTCCCCCTCTTTTCGCCCCATCCACTACCATTACCCCTTTCCCCTCCCCTCCCCCGCTCCCCCCTCCCTCACCCCCGTCCCTTCTATTTCCTCCCATTCCCCTCCTCCCCCCTCACCCTTCCCCTCCTCCTCCCCTCCCCCCACTCCCCCCTCCCCCCCCCCCCCCCTCCGCTCCCTCTCCACACATCCCCTCATCCACCTCACCATCTCCTCCCCCTCCTCCCCCTCCTCTTCCCCCCTCCCCTCCCCTGCCCGCCCCTTGGCCCGCGCCGCCCGAGGAGAGCTGCGGTCCCCCAGTGTCGGCCAGGCGGGCGAGGGAGCTGCCGAGGCTGCAGAGGGCAGAGCTGCTGCACAAGGTCCCCCCCCGGTTGGGGGGAGGGGGTGGCTCGCCTGTCGCAGGGCTCGCCTGCTGCACCCGGACCCCCATCGCGCTGTGAACAACAAATCACGACTGGAGGTCTTCCGCGATGTTCGGCCTCCGGGGGCCCTCGCCGGGCCTCGGGACCGTCAAAGACAATCGTACTCAGAATGAAGAACCGTCCCGGGAGAAGATGGTCCAGGTATCTGGGGGTCGACGTTGCGAGCAGAGGCCTCGACCCGTCGGGGGTATTCTGGGCATGCAGACTGCGTCGGCACGCTGTATCACGGCACCAGTCGGAGCGAGGCAAAGGAGCGAGTGTCGGTTAGGGGAGGGTTATCCTGTGTTCTCCGCGCTTTTGTTGGATGCTTCGTGCTCCTGGGGAGGGTTCTCTTGGGTTGTTCTGTCTGCCTGGGCCGACGGAGGCTCTCAATTTTCTTGAGTTTTCGTGCTCCGCCTCCGTCCCCCTCGTCGCGCCAGCGCGTGCTTTCAACTGGGAGATGGGGCGATTGCGCCCCGTGGCAGGACAGCTCGCCGACCCCCCATTCGCATCTCAAACGTTGGCATCGCGCCATCGCTGCGTCAAGAGAGAGGCGAGACTCCGCCGGGAGGCGGGAGGCGCGAGGGGAGCCCCGCTTCCTTTCAAGCAAGTCAGTACACCTGAGGCGATGCTTAAGAAAACCTAAGTTTTCGGCCAGAGTCTCGATTATTCTTAACTTTTCAATGTAAATCCCAAGATTTTGATAGAAATTTCGGTTTCTTAACCCATGAATTCTTAAGCATTTCGCAGGGTGTACGACGGAAAGCATCCTGAAGGAGGCGTGGGTCGCTGCCAGGATTCGCCGTGGAGCAGTCTTCTTAGTGAGCTCAAGCAGCACTGTCGGCGCCACCACGGGTTGGACGAAGCAGCCACCTCTCGCCGTGACCAGAAAGACTCTTTACGCCGCGGCGCGGCAGAGGCAGTCCACACGCGCGCCTGGGCAGGCGGGGTGACGGCATTGCGAATTGCTGGCAGCAAGAGTGTACATTATCCCAGTGCGACCCTACCTAGGAGTTGGAGCCCCTAGGAAAACAGCATTAGTAGTAATAGTAAAGCTAAGCTAAAGCTTAGCTAAAGCTCAGCTAAAGCTACGCTAAAGCTAAGCTAAAGCTAAGCTAAAGCTAAGCTAAAGCTAAGCTAAATCTAAACTAAAACTAAGCTAACGCTAAGCTACATCCAAGCTAACTCTAAGGTAAAGCTAAGCTGAAACTAAACTGAAGTTAAGCTAAATCTAAGCTAAATCTAAGCTAAATCTAAGTTAAAGCTAAGCTAACGCTAAGCTAATTCTAAGCTACAGTTAAGCTAACGCTAAACTAAAACTAAACTGAAGCTAAGCTTCATCTAAGCTAAAGCTAAGCTACAGCTAAGCTAACGCTAAGCTAAATCTAAGCTAAACCTAAGCTACAGTTAAGCTAAATCTAAGCTAAAGCTAAGCTAAAGCTAAGCTACAGCTAAGCTAACGCTAAGCTAATGCTAAGCTAACTCTAAAGCTAAATCTAAGCTAGCTATAAGCTAAAGCTAAAGCTAAAGCTAAAGCTCCCAGGGGACTGGGGGAACCGCTCCCAGGGGACTGGGGGAACCGCCCGGGGCGCTTTGCACTGCCCGGCCCCTTAAGCAAAGACAGTAAGAACCCTTCTAGGCAGAGCCTAGGTAGGGAAAGAGGGGCATTCCATCCCATGTCTTTCCCTTTCTCTCACTGTCTATCCCTGTCTTTCTCCCTCCCTCTCTCTATCTCTCTCCCCCTCGGTCGCCCTCTCTCCCCTCCACAGCCTGTTTCCCTCTCGCTCTCTCTCTCGTCCTTTCTAGGAGCGGCCGTCCTGACAAGAAAACACGACGGGAGGTTTTCAGGCATTTTCGGCCTCCAGGGGCCCTCGCCGAGCCGCGGGCCGCCACACAGTCGGATCAAGACGAGGCGCCGTTCCCTGGGCTGGGCCCAGGCCTGCAGGGTTCGACGCTGTGAACAAGTTCTGGCATCGCTCGGACTTGTGCACTTTTCCGCGGCGAGAGCCATCGAGGAGTGGTCTGGATCATCTTGCGAAGAAACATCGCACGGATACGAAAAACTCACGTGGAATGGACGTGCGAGCGATGGCGAGAAATTCGCGACGTCGGAGCACTGGGGCGCGGGGGGGGATTGGCGTTCGGGATCAATCGAGCTGTCTGGTCGGCGTTCGAGTCGGTCGGGTCCCTCCAGGTGTTCGCCGGCGACGATGGGGGCGACTAGCCCAGCGGCGGGCATAACACGCATTCGCCCTGGAAGCTTCGCCGAAGGCACGGACCATCGGCGCCTCTAGAAACAGTCGAGGCGGATCAGTAGGTCGACCCTGCCAAGTCAAGGGTGCTCTTGCGTCTTGTGCTTGGCGACCCATGCCTGCTACATTTCCACGGCAGTGTGGCCCTCGGAAGGGCCTTGCGTCCTCTTGCGGCGTGTCCTCTCCAATCAACCTCGGCTGTACATATATTGCTCCCCCCTGGGCTACTCGCCCTCATCTCAGGAGGGGAAAAAACACACAGACACAATTAATCGGCGATTCCCAGAACATATGGGAAAATATGTGAAGTGGGGGGGGGAAGACAAAAAAACAGAAAATATGCGAAAATCTGGGACATCGTTTTATTTGTGTGTATTTATTTGTGTGTCCCAGTTCCCCTTCATCATCGTCGCCCCCGATGTGTTGCCTTGGCGGCCGGAGCGCTGCCCCGACTCACTGCGGCCCTGGTCCGGCCACTGCTCGGGCGACCCCGGCGGCTCTCCAGCAGCTCCTCTGGAGCCCAGCGCGGACCTGACTGCTCGCGCCTCCTCTGGGGAGGGAGGGCAAGGGGCCTCGGCGGGGCGGGCGGACGAGGTCGGAGCTCGGGTACGCCCCAGGGCTCTGGCGACGCCATTCTTCGGCCCCGGCGGTTCTCCGCGATCCTTGGCCCCTCCGGGCCCGTTGGTCGGGCCATGGGGCCCTCAAGCGCGGACCTGGAACGAGCATCCGGCGCGCAGGGACGGGGGGCGAGCGCGCGCTGCAGGGGGGGGGTTCAGAGCCGGCACGTACACCGACACGATGCCAGGGCCGGTCTCGATCCGATCGAGCCGGTCCGATGCGGATCTTTGGCCGGCTCGGTTCGATCCGATCCGATTCCCACGCTCGCGCTGGGGCGGGAGGCAGGGGAGCCAGGGCATGGGGAGGGCTGGAGGCGGGAAGCCCGGGCGAGCAGGAGGGAGGCAAGGAGGGTTTGGGGATGGAGGGGCTGCTGCTTGGACTGCTCGTGCGGTCTTAATTAGAGGCCCCTCAGGGCCCTGACCGCCCCACCGCGAGCCCCGCCACCCCGAGGAGGGGGGGGGGAGTTCTACAGCAGCGGTGGGCGGGCGGGGGGCTGGAGGACGTCGGACGGGGCGGAGAGGGGCAGGGATGGGGTGGAGGATGGAGGGGCGAGCGAGCAGGAGGGAGGCAAGGAGGGCGCGGAACTGCGGGGGGGGGGCAGGAGTTCTCGTGCGGGGAGCTGGAGGAGGTCGGGCGGGGCGGAGAGGGGCCGGAGGGGCTGGATTCTGTGGGGGGGGGGCCTGGGGCGCCGCAGTGGGGAGGGCCTCGGAGGGAGGGGGCTCGCCAGGCGAGGGGCGCGCAGGGCGGGGGGGCAGGAGGGCCAAAAAGGAGGTCGGAGGGGCCAGCTAGTAGCAGAAGTCTGGCAGCTCGTCGGGGAATTCGGGCCGGGCGTTGCGTAAGGGGGGGGGAGTGGGCGACGGAGAAGGGGGGGAGAAAGGTGCACCTCTTGTGTTGTGATGCTCCAATCTGCTTTAGTCTTGAGCGCCAGGAAGAGTTTCGAGCACCAATCATATACCGAACTTTGAGGCTTTTCACGTGTCGGGCCCTGGCAGGCGATACTCGTTCGACACTGTTTATATACTTCTCTTCGCTGTGCTCGAAATCATTGCAAAGGCCTTACGGCCGGTGCCGCCGACCCTGAAGACGACGAAGAGGAAAACGAGCGGGGGGTTAAGGTGGTGGAGGAGGAGGAGGTGGAGGATGTGTGGGGGAGCGGCGAGAGGAAGCCAGAAGGAACAACCAATTTTGGAGGCCTCGGCCCTCGACTGAAATGGGAGGGAGAGGGCGGGGACAAAAACCTTGCTGATAGTCAATGAATATGGCCTATCCGTGCCTTCTTGAGAGTCCTTTTGGGGCTCTTTTGATTTGGCCGTCCTTAGGCGTTCTTGGGCTGTCTTGTGGGGCTTGGGACGTCTAGGGGCGCTCTTGCGGATCCGTCGTGGCGACCCCCCCTTCTCCAGCGCATCTACAGAGGGCCCCCTTCAGTAGTAGTAGTCGTAGTCGTAGTCGTAGTAGTAGTAGTAGTAGTAGTAGTAGTAGTAGTAGTAGTAGTAGTAGTAGTAGTAGTAGTAGCAGTAGCAGTAGTCGTAGTCGTAATCGTAGCAGTAGCAGTAGCAGTAGCAGTAGTAGTAGTAGTAGTAGTAGTAGTCGTAGTAGTAGTTAGTTAGTAGTTCGTAGTAGTAGTCGTCATAGTAATAGTAGAGAAGAAGTAGTAGTAGGCGGAGCAGGTCGCAATTGTATCGACACTAGTCGTGGTCGTAGGTAGTAGCCAGTAAGTAGTAGTTAATAGTTTAGTAATAGTAGTAGTAGTTAGCAGTTAGTAAGTAGTAGTTGTAGTAGTAGTAGTAGTAGTAGTTAGTAGTAGTAGTTAATAGATAGTAGTAATAGTTCGTAGTCAGTAGTAGTAGAGTAGTAGTAGTTAGCAGTTAGTCGTCGAAGTAGTAGTAGTAGTAGTAGTAGTAGTAGTCGTCGTCGTCGTAGTAGTAGTAGTAGTAGTAGTAGTAGTAGTCATAGTAGTAGTAGTAGTAGTAGTAGTAGTAGTAGTAGTAGTAGTAGTCGTAGTCGTAGTCGCAGTCGCAGCAGCAGTAGCAGTAGCAGTCGCAGTAGCAGTCGCAGTAGTAGTAGTAGTAGCAGTCAGAAGAAGTAGTA